AAGGGGGGGGGGGGCTGGGCATGCCAGGCGAGCTGCTGTCGCCCAGAGACGCCCCCTCTTCCTTTGTGTGGCTTGCAGGACTCCGAAGCACAAGAGACATATGGATGGGAAGGGGGGGGCAGGCATGCAGGGGAGCAGGCATGCACAATCCCGGGGCATGCATGCACGCGCCCGCCCGCCCGCGCGCGCCTCCATACAGCCCTGCACCCGAACACACCCCCTGGCGGGACCGCACCGGAGCCCCCGGGTCGCTTCCCTCCCCGCCCGGCCCTCCGGGGCTTCCTTGGCGGTCCTCCGGCCGCTCACCTTTGGAGTTGCATGTCTCGGGCGAGGCCTCCTGCCCGCCTTCCTCCCCGCGCCCCCTGCGCCTCGCCTGTCCGCCCGGTTTAGTCCTGCCCGGTCCTCATCTCACGGCTTTCCTGCCAGCGCCATCTTGCAAGCTTGTGACGTTGGGAGCCGCTCACCCCTGACCCACATTTGAATAGAAGCCAAAATGGAAAAAAAGAGAGAGAGCGAGAGAACGAGAAGGGGGAAAGGAGGAGAGGAGGGAGAGGTGGAGGCGAGGAAGGGAAGGGAAAGGCGAATGCGAGCAGCGGGTCTGGCGGGGGTTAGCATCTCTCTTTAGCAAATAAGCATTTAGGGTGGGTGGGTGTGTTTCTCCACACACACACCCCCGTGCGTCTTGCAAACGCGGAATTGGGGAAGGGGGATCAGGGGATCGGGCCGCAGAATTTTCCTCGATAAATGCGGCTTTGCACGCACGGAGTTCGCCCCCACCCACCCGGCCGCACCGACCCCTGGAATTTGGCTAAGACCTCTCGCTCCATTCAAAGCAGCCGGGAGTCTTACTTTTCCAAACTGGCGCGTGGCGGCCGCGTTCCACGCGCAAACACACCGTACGCTCCTCCGGTTTATTCCTCCCCCCCCTCCCCAATTTCCCGATCTAATTTTTAATGGTCTCTATTGTCCGTATGCGACGTTGTGTCCCTCATGCACATCCCCGGCAACTCTGAAAACGCGTGTCTGTGTGGCGGTGGGGAAAGACCCACGTTCTTTTGCGCGCTGCATTGTTTGGCGGCTGGCGCTCGGAGCGGCGAGCCACGTTTTGAAACGGGAAACATCGGGACCTGGCGTTAGCTAATACCGTCATTTGAAGGGAGGGGGGGGGAGCGCTGGTGCCAGAAAACGAACAAAGACCTACGGGGCCGGGGGGGGGGGGGGAGAGAAGGGCTTGATCCTGAAAACACTTAACGGGCACACGCTAGACTCGAGGACTTCGGTGGGACTCTGTAAGTTGTTGCAGCATCAGGCTCTTCACGCTCTCTCTTTTCCCCGACAGTTAAAGAAAGAAAGAAAATACTTTGTGTGGAAATTTCCTGCACGGATCGTCAGGCTTGGGGAAGGACAGCGAACTTAATTTTCAGCGGAATAGCTTTCAAAAGCGCGAAAGACTATATAAAGGTTGGTCGTTTCTCTTTCTTTAGGGGCATTATTACAGGAGCGCGTGTCAATTTCCGTGTCAGTTTCCACGGAGAAACTCGCAGGGGCGCAGTAGCCTGATTGAGTCTTTTGCAGGAAATACCCAACTACTACTTGTGGCACCTTAAAAGATTAACAGAATCAAGGGTGTAGACTTTCCAATTTCCCGGGAGGGGGGGCTGGGGCTGGGCCAGAGACATTGCTGTGCTAGGAGCAAGGGTGGCTCCCGGGGGAGGCAGAGCACTTTTCCTGAAAATTTCCACGGGGGCTTGCTGCCCCCACAATGATTATGCCTATGAACAGAATAACTGTGGCAAAAGAGGAGTACCGGTGGACGAGAGGCCACTATAGCAGTTGGTAAGAACTGTTATCTTCCGTTGGCAGCTATAGATACACACACATAGAAACAGAAAACTTGAGGATGTTTTCACTATTTGTATAATTCCCCCCATGTAGGTGTATTTAGAGCTCTAAAATGGTCTGGAAAGGAATGTCTCAACAAGGATCTTCTCCCACCCTGGATCCACAAGATGAGCAAAGGTTCCTTATTTTACTACTTATATTCATTTCTGTATTGGTCAATAGTTTGGGCTCTCTGTTGACTTTGTAGATCCCTTCGTATTGTGAGCACATGTACTATGAGCAAACGTGCATTTGCAGATGTGCAATTCAAATAGCGTTGATATGTACAATGTACATTCCTTAGATGCATAATGTACATAGCTGATGTACAGATGCCTAAATGATGAGAACATGTGTTCTACAGAAAATGTTTAGTGCAAAGATGCAAAAAGGGAACAAAAATAAAGAATCACAAGTTAGATTCAGACAAGGGAGAAGCAAAATCAAAACAGATTTATGGACTGAAACACCAAGGGTGAGAAATCCATAAGACATGGAGGTCTTTGAGCTGCAGAGGTCCTTCTCTGAAGAAGTGAGCAGTGACTCCCAAAAGGTCCCACCCTGCCACATATTTGGTTAGTCTTTAAGGTTAGTCTTTAAGGACTTTGTTAGTCTTTAAGGACTCTTGCTCTTTTCTACTGTTGCAGATGGACTAACACAACTACCCATCTTGATCTAGATCCTTCTCTGTGAGTCTCCCACCTTCAGGGGTGCAGGGGGTGGCCAGAACAAAAACAGCCCTTTGATAATGGCACTAAGGTCTTCAGAATGCCCTGCCAAAAAAGGCAACATGTGTTTAAAATGATTATTGGATGGGTTTTAGTTCTTTGGGTTTGCTGTTTCAAATGCTGGATGTTTTAAATCATCCAGAGTCTTGGAGAAAGGCAGCTTATGAATTATACAAATAAATGCATTTATTTGGTACCTTTATTCATAGCTTAAAAAACATTTTACATAATTTTAACTCTTGTGAGCTGTGCTGTAGATCCTGTATGGAGTGTGTAAGGGAAGGATAGACATGTTCGTACATTTCCTGCATTCTGCAGGGGGTTGGACTAGATTACCCTGGAGGTACCTTCCAACTCTACGATTCTATCACCCTAAAAACATCCATGGAGGACCCAGTATGTATTGCCACCAGAGTGTTGGGACTAATTGTTTTGAGACTTACTGTTTCCCTCTTCTCCTTTGTGTACATTTTCCTTTTGAAAATGTCCTCTCTAGGCTGCATTAAGCCTCCTTAGGAAAAAAAAGACAGGCACAATATGGGAACCTGTCTTTCCCCCCTACCAGTACTTAAAGCAGCCCAGCAGGGGCTTTTTGAGAGCCAGTTTGGTGTAGTGGTTAAGTGCGCGGACTCTAATCTGGAAGAACCGGGTTTGATTCCCCACTCCTCCACTTGCACCTGGCTGGATGACCTTGGGCAAGCCATAGTTCTGATAAGAGCTGTTCTTGAAAAAGAGCAGTTTCTGTCAGAGCTCTCTCAGCCCCACCTACCTCACAGGGTGTCTGTTGTGGGGAGGGGAAGGGAAAGGAGTTTGTAAGCCGCTCTGAGATGCCTTTGGGCAGTGAAGGGCGGGGTATAAATCCAATCTCTTCTTCTTCTTCTTTTGTCACCCTAGCTTCCAACCATATCAGACCCCTCAGCATCTGATTGTTAAAAAACAAAACAAAAAACACAAGTTGTTGAGCCTTGGTATTGAAGGTGCCACGAGATGTTTCGTGATGTTGAAAGCACGTAGACACACCGTTCTGCAAGAACATAATTTTTTACTTTGGCAAACATTCACTGTAGGTCATGGCCATTTCAGAGTTACTATGAAGGCATGCCTTCATTCAGCCTCCCAACATTTGATATTACTTAAGAAACTCTCTGGTTTCATCAAAGAATGCCAGTTGGCAGCCCTTGCACTTGTGGATTTGTAAAAAAACAAACGGTATCCCTCCAAAGCACAAAAGACCCATAACAAGAACACAGTCCACGTGCAAACAGGAACAGCCGGCGAGAATACAGTCACTCCCTTATGTTTATCCAGACACTTTTTTCAGCTTTGAACCACAGAGCGTACTCCTAACCTGGTTTCCTTTTTACAAAGTGTCTTTAAACATAATTATTATTGAGCTTTATGACAGCTTACATACAATACAGTTTACATAGTCTCCTCTTCAATACACTGATGTAACATCAGATTATAATACTTTATCCATAGTGTTGATCGTCTGCTTGACAAATGAATGGGCACAGATCACATCCTTCAGTCCCTTAAATTCAACAATGACAAAGTTTTATTCAGTAGGAACGAGTAAGAGTCCAGTAGCACCTTAAAGACTAACAAAATTTGTGTCAGGGGACGAGCTTTCGTGAGTCACTGCTCACTTCTTCAGATACAGTCACTGCTCACATCAGTTTTATTCAGGGGTCATTTCCTGCAGGAGCGCACAGGAGCGGAGCTCCGGCAGTAAAGAGCCCAGGGGGGCGGGCACATGCAACAAGCCCCACCCCCTGCTCCCAGCAACCCTCAGTCAGAGCAAGAAGCAGCCAGATAAGTTGCAGAGGCCCCCCCCGGCCCCCCAGTCCAAAAAAGTCCAGTGGCACCTTTAAAACCAAGTTTTATTCAGGTACAAGCTCTCCCTCCTCTTCTAGGGCAGATCTGCACGTCCCCATCCCCCCCCCCCCAATAGCTAGCAATCCAAAACAGTCCAGTGGAGCCTGAGCGGTGGGTGTTGCCTTCTGACACACTTCCAGTGATGTCAGGGAGTGTGGCATATGCAAATAAGTTATGCTAATGAGGGATGCTAATGAGCTCCTGAACCTCTTTTTCTACAAAATGACCCCTGGTTTTATTGATTTTTCACAATTGTTTTTATTTTACAGCTGGCTGCTGCTTTAGATTTTTTACATTTTTCTGCTGCCTTGGATCCAACACAGCTGTTCCACTGATGGTGGTAGTTTTCGCTGGTGAAAACAGGAAGACTCTGTATGCTGGAAGAAAGTGTCACCATTAGCAAAATGGATCTGCAAGATCTGTAACCTGAACTCCCAGGCCAGCTGGTAGATTCTCAAGCACAAAAATCATAGGAATGATAAAACCCACAAAACAATCAAAACCCATACTGAAACATTAAAATATTAGCAATATGGGTAAATGTATTGCATACGATAACACAACACAAGAAACCTGACAAGATGGGAAAGCTTTTACAACAATAGATAGGAAATTTTGACTCAAATGTATAAAAGAATGAAAATTTGTAATGTTAAAAAAAATCAAGAAGATGGAATGAGGAAAATATGTTAATGTGAATTGAGGAAAACTATAAATAAAAGTATAAAAAAAGGGGGGGGGAGAAACCTGACTCCCAATGCATGCATTTCAGAACTTGCAATGAATGTGGTTTGTTTTTTTTAAATCATTCCACTGCTCTGTTTGGGAGTCGGTGTAAGGATCAGTTCACACAGTGCTTTTACTTGTACAGACGTCCTTGGGAATATCTACATTTGCAAAGCCAGAATGTAAGTTATCTGTGAGAATTAGCTGGTTAGACGTCGTGTTAAGAAAGTCTGGGCACAGGTCTATCGATTATATTTCCTTCACTAGGTGTTTTATCCAGAAAACCGCATGTGCTGATTATATGTGTCTGATGTAAGGCCTCTACGCAGAACAGGAATTTTCATAACATAGCATGCCTCCCGCTTGGTTCTCTGACTTAGTGGACTGAGGTGGTTGGCAGTCACAGACTTGGAGGTGAGGTCCCCCAGAAAGCTAGTGCCTTGGAACTCCATCATTCATGCTTAGTCCCTCTTGGCTGGGATGCCTTGGGTACTCCTGAATTATGGAGAAATCCCAGTGTATATCTGGGTCAGCGTCCTGACCTGGATAGGCCAGGCTAGCCTGATCTTGTCAGATCTCAGAACGAAGCTAAGCAGTGCTGGCCCTGGTCAATATTTGGATGGGAGACCTTCAAGGAATACCAGGGTCTCTACGTAGAGGCAGGCAATGGCAAACCACCTCTGAACATCTCTTACCTTGAAAACCCTACGGAATCATGGTAAATCAGCTGCGACTTGATGGCAAAAAAAAAAATCTGGGTCAGCATGTTCGGTCTACGTGTGGTTTTTCAGGACGCCAGCACTCACTGGGTAGGTGTTCCAAGAATAACTCCCTTATCATGGATGGATCATGGGTGTAGGAATGAATCTCAGCAGTACCTAACATTTGTGTGGGTTGAAGACTCATTAAGATGGTCCCGTTTCAAAGCCACATGGGTCATGTTAGTTTCCAGAATACTCTTGAAGAGCTTTCCACTCACACAGCTGGCCTTCCTGTCAAAAGCTAGGGCTTTTTCGGTGGTGGCCCCTACCTGGTAGAATGAGCTCCCGGAGGAGATCCGGGCCCTGCGGGACTTAATGCAGTTCCGCAGGGCCTGCAAGACGGAGCTCTTCCACCAGGCTTTCGATTAGGGGCCGCCCCCCTGCCCCCCGTTATATTACCATCACTGGGGGGGGGGGCTTTAGCTTGGAGAAATGACAACAGGGGTGACATGATCGAGGTTTATAAGATTATGCATGGGATAGAGCAGGTAGGGAAGAGATACTTTTCTCCCTTTCTCACAATATAAGAACTCTTGGGCACTACATGAAATTGCTGAGCGGTCGGGTTAGAACAGATAAAAGACGGAGCTCTTCCACCAGGCTTTCGATTAGGGGCCGCCCCCCCGCCCCCCGTTATATTACCATCACTGGGGGGGGGGCCCTAGGAAGGAAGGAAGGAATGAATGGAACATCTGAATTTAACATCTAACACCAAGGGACACGGAATGCCTACCGGGGATGTTTGGAGTGGTTGTCATCTCTCTGAGGTTCACGAGCTGAGGTTTTGAGCACTTTATGTACTGAGATGGTTTTAAATTGTATATTATGTTTTAAATTTTACTATATTGTATTTGATGTTTTATTACTGCAATATTTTGCCATGTAAGCCGCCCTGAGCCCTACAGGGGAGGGCGGGATATAAATTTAATAAATAAATAAATAAATAAAGCCCGGCTGAATCCCTAGAACTGGAAATTACTTCAGTAGGTGATATGCAGGCTCTTAGTATAGATTCAGGTGGGTAGCCGTGTTGTTCTGAAGCGGCAGAACAAAGTTGGAGTCCAGTGGTCTTAAAGGTGCCACTGGACTCAAACTTTGTTCAGTCTCTAGGATGAATGAGAATGGCAGGAAGGGTGTGACTCGGTTGCCTTTCCTGGACGTATCAGCCGTTTTCAGTGTCATCAACCATGTCATCTTTCTGGAGAAGGCTGTGAGGGGGCACTTCATTGTAGTGTTTCCATTTCCACCTGGCTGGAAGGTCCCAAACAGATGGGGCTAGGAATCTGCACCTCCTCCCTATGGGAGTTTTTCCATGGGCTGCTGCAGATGCCAAGGGCTTCTTGCCATTTGACACAAATTTGGAATTGTTGGGGGAATCTGGTGGGAAATGAAATGAATGTGCTGGTACAACAAGCTCTGTGTCTGTACGTCTTCTGATCCAAATAGAGGAATAGATTCTCTGAATTGGTGCCTGTCCCCATATCCACTCTGACAGCACAATAACTAGACCTAACAATAGAACAGAGCAAGAGTCCAGTAGCACCTTAAAGACTAACAAAATATGTGGCAAGGTAGGAGCTTTCGTGAGTCACTACTCACTTCTACTAAGACAGACTAACATGGCTACCCATCCAGACCTAACAACACCGCCATACCATCTCAGATTCATTCTTTTGTTTATCTTCCAAAGTTATTGTTGTTCAGTCGCACAGTCGAGTCCGACTCTTCGCGACCCCATGGACCAGATCTCGCCAGGCCCTCCTGTCTTCCGCCGTCCTCTGAAGTTTGCTCAATTTCATGTTCGTTGCATCGATGACACTGTCTAACCATCTCATCCTTTGCCGTCCCCCTCTTGATGTTCCATCAGTGTCAAATGTCAGCAGTGCCCTCCCACTCTCTACATTGGACAAACAGGCCAGTCCCTACACAAAAGAATAAATGGACATAAATCCGACATTTATAAAAAATGCAATAATAAAAAAAACAGCAGGAGAACATTTATTCTTCCAGGTCATTCCATTGCTAACCCAAGAGTGGCAGTCCTCAAACAAAAAAACTTCAAAGGGAGGTTACAACACCGAGATGACTGAATTTGAGTTCATTTACAAGTTCAGAACAATAGATTCCCCCCAGGGCCAAATAGGAACGTAAGACTCTTATCTCACTACAGATGGTAATTTTCTGCCCCCAAGCTTCCCCCCTCTGATCAAGCTGATTATAATATGCATTGTACCTTTGCATCGTTTACAAGCATTCTTCACAACACTCCTCCCAACTTCCGACTGGGATAAAATGACTCAGATCTCCATTCCGACTCATATTTGATGAAGGGAGCTTTGACTCTTGAAAGTTTACACCATAAATATCTTGTTGCTCTCTAAGTGCTACTAAATTCAAATCTAACTTTCCTGGGGAAAAGAAGACTTTGCATCTCTGTTTTTTATGTGCCGTCAAGTTACTTCCAACTTACGGCGACCCAATGAATTAATGACCTCCAAAACATCCTATCATTAACAGTCTTGTTCATATCTTGCAAACTGAGGGCTGTGACTTCCTTGATTGTCAGTCCATTTCATGGAAACTCAGCATGGGTTCTGTAAGGGAAGATCTTGTCTCACTAACCTGTTAGTGTTCTTTGAGGGGGTGAACAAACATATGGACAGGGGGGACCTAATAGATATTGTTTACCTTGACTTCCAGAAAGCTTTTGATAAAGTTCCTCATCAAAGGCTCCTAAGTAAGCTCAAAAATCATGGGATAAAAGGACAAGTCCTTTTATGGATCAAAAACTGGCTAATTAATAGAAAACAGAGAGTGAGTATAAATGGGCAATTTTCTCAGTGGAGGGAGGTAAGCAGTGGGGTACCGCAGGGATCAGTACTTGGTCCACTGCTTTTTAACTTGTTCATTAATGATTTGGAGTTGGGAGTAAGCAGTGAAGTGGCTAAATTTGCGGATGATACGAAGTTGTTGAGGGTGGTGAAAACCAGTGAGGATTGTGAGGCACTCCAAGGGGATCTGTCGAGGATGGGCAAGTGGGCGTCAACATGGCAAATGGGGTTCAATGTGGCCGAGTGCAAGGTGTTGCACATTGGAGCCAAAAATCCTAAATATAAATACACATTATGGGGTCTGAACTGGCAGAGACTGATCAAGAGAGAGATCTTGGAGTTGTAGTAGATAACTCACTGAAAATGTCGAGACAGTGTGTGACTGCAATAAAGAAGGCCAATGCTATGCTGGGGATTATTAGGAAGGGTATTGAAAACAGATCAGCCAATATAATAATGCCCCTATATAAATCAATGGTGAGACCTCATTTGGAATACTGTGTGCAGTTCTGGGCACCACACCTTAAAAAGGATATTATAGCTTTGGAAAAAGTGCAGAAAAGGGCAACTCGAATGATAAAAGGGTTGGAACACTTTCCCTATGAGGAAAGGTTAAGGCGCTTAGGGCTCTTTAGCTTGGAGAAACGACGACTGAGGGGTGACATGATTGAGGTTTATAAGATTATGCATGGGAAAGAGCAGGTAAAGAAAGAGGTACTTTTCTCCCTTTCTCACAATACAAGAACCCGTGGGCACTCCATGAAATTGCTGAGCGGTCGGGTTAGAACGGATAAAAGGAAGTACTTCTTCACCCAAAGAGTGATTAACACATGGAATTCACTGCCACAGGAAGTGGTGGCGGCTACAAGCATGGACGGCTTCAAAAGGGAATTAGATAAGCATATGGAGCAGAGGTCCATCAGTGGCTATTAGCCACAAGGTATAGCTAGGGGCTCTGGGGCAAGTGATGCTCTGTCTTCTTGGTGCTTGGGGGGGTCAACAGTGGGAGGGCTTCTAATGTCCTGGCCCCACTGGTGGACCTCCTGATGGCACTGGTATTTCTGGCCACTGTGTGACACAGAGTGTTGGACTGGATGGGCCTTTGGCCTGATCCAACATTGGCGTCTCTTATGTTCTTCCTCTTTTCCTGTTGTCTTCAACTTTCCCTAGCATTATTGTCTTTGTCACTGGGTCCTTGTTGTCTTCTCATAATGAGACAATAGGGAGAGTTCAGGCTTGATTTGATCTAGGACCCACTTATTTGTCTTTTTGGTGGTTCACAGTATCTGTAAAACTCTCCTCCAACACCACGTTTCAAATTAATCAGCTTT